ATGGAGGTGTGCAAAATTATGAGAGATCTGGGCAGAGTAGATAGGGAGACATTGTTTCCTTTGGTTTGAAGGCTGAGGACTAATGGACACTGATTTAAAATGATTAACAAAACTGGGAACATGAGGAAAAGCTTTTTAAAATAGCACAATCAGGATTGCACTAAATGAGTATGTGGTGGAGACAGATTCCATGGAGCCTTTGAAAGAGAATTGGAAAGTTGTCTGATTAGAAAGATTTGCAGGGCTGCAAGAAAAAAAAAGTGATTGGGGGAGGATGGGACTAGTTGAGTTGTTTTTGCTGGGAGCCTGAACAGACGGGCCAAATGGTCTCCTTTTACGCTGTACCCATCCTATGATGAGATGGTAAGAATTGCCGATGCTGAAGTCTGAGATAACACAGTGTGGAGCTGGAGGAACTCAGCAAGCCAGGCAGCATCAGAGGAGCCCACCGACTGCCACAGCTACCCAGATTACACCTCCTCTCACCCACCTTCCTGCAAGAATGCAATCCCCTACTGCCAATTCCTCCGCCTCCGTTGCATCTGCTCCCAAGATGAGGCGTTCCACTCCCAAACATCCCAGATGTCCTCGTATTTCAAGGACCGCAACTTCCTCCCTTCTCTTGCGTTTCCTGCACCTCTGCCCTCACACCCCCTCCCTGCAATAAAAACAAAGTCAGAATCCCCCTTATCCTCATGTATCACCCCATTAACCTCCACATTCAACGCATCATTCTCCGCCACTTCCACCACCTGCAATCTGACCCCACTACAAAGGATATATTTCCATCCCCACCCTTATCTGCCTTCTGGAGGGACCGCTCTCTCCGCGACTCCCTCGTCTGCTCCCCACTAGCCCCACCACCCCAGGCACCTTTCACTGCAACCGCAAGAGGTGCTACACCCCCCCCCCCCCTCACCTCCATCCCAGGCCCCAAAAAATACCTTCCACATCAGGCAGATGTTCACCTGCACATCTGCTAAAGTGGTCTATTGTATCCGCCATTCCCGATGTGGCCTCCTCTACATCGGTGAGACCAAGCAGAGGCTCGGAGACCGCTTTGTAGAGCACCTATGCTCGGTTTGCAACAAAAGACAACACCTTCCAAACGCCAACCATTTCAACTACCCCTCCCACTCCCTGGATGACATGTCCATCCTGGGCCTCCTCCAGTGTCACAACGATGCCACCCGGAAAGTGGAGGAGCAGCATCTCATATTCCGCCTTGGGAGCCTACAACCCAAGGGTCTCAATGTGGACTTTACTAGCTTCAAAATCTCCCCACCCCCTCATCCCAAGACCAACCCTTCCTCCCACCCCAACCCCCTTGACCTGTCCATCTTCTCTCCCACCTATCCGTTCCTCCCGCCTCACTGACCAATCCCCATCACGACCTGCACGCACCTATCACCATCCCACCCACCTTCCCCAGCCCAGCACCACCCCCAACTCTCTATTTATTTCAGAGCCCCTTTTTCCTCCCCCACTTCTGAAGAAGGGTCCCGACTTGAAATAGCTTTCCTGCTCCTCTGATGCTGCCTGGCCTGTTGTGTCCTTCCAGCTCCACACTGCGTTAACCCATCCTATGATGTTCAGCCAGCATTTGTAGATAAATAAACGTTCTAGTTCGTTAACCTAGTTAACTTTGAATTCATAGAGATGAAGTATATTAATTCCTTGTGACAGCACAGACTGCGCAGGATCTTTGAGCTTTCACTTTTGTAATTAATTGTTGTTGGAGAAACCGTAAAATTCGGGAGCTTTGATTATCAGAGCCCGTGCTGGTGGCAGTGACAGGGAAGGTGTGCTGGGCGAGGAAAATCGTGTTTCACCTTTAATGATTCTAATGCCATAAATCGGAGTTAACAGTTTAAATCGGTTATGGCCGCTATGGCACTAGTTGTGTAACTGTGTATAAATGGAGAAAAATTGAGCCACTATTCAATGTTTTCGTCATGTTTGCCGAGAATAATTGTGATTTAGTCCTCAAATAGTTAACATTCCACAAACGGGCCGTTTCCAATCTGGCAGAAATCCTGTGACTGAGAATTGGGGGAAGCAGAGTTTGGATCGGACGCCGAGGGAGCGACAAAGAGTGAAAATCGACAGCAATTTAGGTTAAGTGCTGACTTATGTATTTTACTAATGTTGTAATGGTTTAAACACGACAGAAATAACCTGGCGTTTTAAGGAAACTTTTCTATGTTCATCTTCTTAACATATTGCGTTTTTAAACACTTCCTCGTTTAATCTTTTATAGTCTAAATTCAAATAATTACGATTATGCTATTAACCTTGAAAATCTCCAAATCTCCTACTGAAATTGCAACAGATCTCAACTATGGCCGGATGCACTTTCGCCGGTTTTTCAGTTTTTCTCCTGTCCCGTTTTGTTTGTTCTGGCCATGCTCTTTGTTTGCAGCCGAAGTTGCTGGCTGCTTAATTTTAGTATCAAGTCAACAATATTAGAAACAGAATTCTGCATAAAAAGGAGCATTGAGTTTGTAATTTTCGATCACACCAGGAAAAAAAACGGCAGTACTGTTGTGTTTAAAATTTGCGCACGATTTATAAACTTGTAATTCTGTTGCTATTTTAAAAAAAATTATAAAGCATGTAACGTCCATATACTTCAAATTTTAGGGATGCGTAAAAGATCATGATGGAGTTGGAGATGCCATTACTCACTATTGTTTTGGGCCTAACGATCTCTGTGGTTGCAGCAGAGAGTGAAAGCAGAATCTGTAAGGTGGCCCCTCATTGGGAAATTGCCGACCGTAAACCAATGGAGGAACAGATTGGCCATGTTGTTGTTGTGGCCCTTCTCAAAGCAAGCTGCGGGTTCTGTTTGACTCAAGCAACTAAGTAAGTATAGCACTTCATAATTATTTTTCACTGTTGCCTTAATGTAATCTCTACAGTGTTATTAACTTCTGCAGTCAAGAGCACCAAGTGGACATTTGCTGTGATTCTATTCAGTTGTTAGTTACAATGTTACACGAATGCTCAAGTTCAGAAGCAAAAACAATTTGCCTCAATTGTGTAGAACACACAATACAGAGTATTGTATGCGATTCAAGTCCCCTTGCTTGAGGAAGGTTATAATTGCCTTCAAAGGATTGCAGCAGAGTTTTGCCACGTTGATTTCTAGGACATTGAGATGAAATTGTCCTATCAGGAGAAATTGTGTCTGTATTCAGTTGAGTTTAGAAAAATGAGAGACATTGTCATTAAATCCCAACAGTGCAGAAGCAGGCCATTTGGCAGATTGAGTCCACACGAACCCTCCCAGGACCCACACCCTTACCCTATCCCTGTAACCCTGCATTTTCCATGGTTAATCCACCTAGTCTGCATATCCGTAGATATTATGGGCAATTTAGCATGACTTATCCACCTAACCTGCACATCTTTGGACTCGGAAGAAACCCATGCAGACACTGGGAGAAAGTGCAAATTCAGACAGACAGTTGCCTAAGACTGGAATTGAACCCAGGTCTCTGGTGCTGCAAGGCAACAGTGCTAAACACTATGCAACCCCACTTTCTCCTAGAAAGTTGCAAAATTCTTAAAGGGATAGACAGAATATTTGCAGAAAGGATGTTTTCCCTAGTTCTAGATCAATTAAAGAGCGGATGTAGGCTCAGAATAAAAAGCAAGCCATTTAGGACTGAGATAAGAACACTCTACTTAGAGGGTGGTAAATCTTTGGAATTCTGTATTCAAGAAGCCTGTGGAAGTTCAGTCATTAAGCAAGTTCAAAACAGAAACTGAATTTTCTAGTTACTAATGATACAAAGGGATGTGCAAAATAGTGTGGAAAATGGTGTAAGATACAAGTGGATAAGGTGGTAAAAAATGAAGTTATATGGCATGTTTGCCTTCATCAGCTGGGGCATTGAGTGTAAAAGTAGGCAAGTCATGTTGCACCTGTATAAAATTTAGGTCCCATTTGTAGTATTGTTTGCAGCTCTATCACATTGTAGGAAGGATGTGCAGGCTTTGGATAGAGTTCAAAAGTGGTTTGCCAGGATATTGCCTGGATTGGAGTGTATTAACTATAAGGAGATGTTGAATAATGTGGATTGTTTTCCCTAGAGCATTGGAGGCCGAGGGGCAATCTGATAAAAGATATGAGGCAAGTTTTTTTTTTACACGGAGTGTGGTAAGTGCCTGAAATGTACTGCTGGGGAAGTTGGGTAAAAGCAGATATGATAGCAACATTTAAGACACATTTGGACAGACATTTCTATAGACAGAATAGAGAGATACTGACCATATACCGGCAAATGGGATTAGTTTAGAATGGCATCACAGTCAATTTGGACATGGGAGACCGAAGGGCCTGCTGTTGTCCTGTCCTGTACTGTTCTATTTTCTATGTTATAAATCTAGAATGGCGGAGCAGGCTTGAGGATCTGAGTGATTCACTCCTGTGTATGATCTGAATGGTGCAGTGTGAAAAACTGACTGAATTTTAATCCCACTCTTCCCATTGGAAAATAACACCATTCTTTTGTTAATTACACTTCAGTGTGGCAGACTTAACCCCAAACTCCATACCATAGGAATTGTGCGCCTGAACTGATCCTACATTGTTTAATGTCACATTAAGAGGGGCATTATTTTAAGGCATTCCTACTAATTTTTTATTTGTTTACATTTTTGTTTTGAGTGGGTGTTGTAATTATATATGAATATTCAAACAGATGTATCAGGAGCAGGAGTAAGCCATTTGGCTTCTCAAGCATGCTGTGCCATTCAGTCAGGTCCTGGCTGCTTGTGGCTTCAACTTCCATCTTCCAGGTTATCTCTGAGACCCTTTTGACCTCCTTATTAGTCAAAAATTTAATGCCACTTTAAAACTATTAAACAACCCTGCCTCCATTTCTTTTACAGACTCATGACCTTCTGATGGGGGGAATGAAAAAGTCTTCGCACTTCCATCTTAAATGGAAAACCCCTGTATTTTAAAGCTGTGTCCCCTAATTCCAGTTTCTTCCACAGGGAAAATATCCTTGCATCCATCCTGTCAGATCTCTCAGGATCCTATGTTACAATAAACTACTTCTCATTCTTCTAACCTTCAATGGATACAGATCTGAACCAACCAACCATTTCTCATTCCTGGCATTCGCCTAATAAACTTTCTCAGAACTGTTTCCAATGCATTTACATCCTACTTCAATTAAGTGATCAGAACTGAAGATAGTATACCAGATGTAATCTAACCATAGGAAAATATCCCAACTTGATTTTCCATACCCCTTGCAATAATCATCCCAACATTTATTTTGCCTTCTGACTCACTCACTCACCTGCACACAAACAGGTTTTGATACAACAACCAGGACATCAAGATCCATCTGTAGCTCACAGGGTTCTGCAATCTCTTACTTTAAATAATATACTGCTTATCTATTCTTCCGAAGTGGACAGGTTTACATTTTCCCACTTTATTTGGTATCTGGAAATCTTTGAGACTGATCTCTATATTCCTTTGCAGACACCTTACATACTCTTCACAAATTACTTTCCTACCTAACTTTGTATCATCAGCAAAGTTAGCAATCATCCCTTCAATAACTCCAACTAACTGACATAGATTGTAAATAGCTGAGGCCCCAGCATTGATCCCCGTGGCACCCGACTCATTACATCTTGTCCACCTGAAAATTACCTATTTATGCCTACTCTCTGGTTCCTGTTAGGCAACCAATTCTCTAACCATGCTAATACATTACCTCCTACATCCTGACCTCTTATTTTATGTAATAACCTTTGATGTGGTACGTTGTCAAATGCAGTCTGGAAATCTAAACTACACCACATCGACGGGTCCTTCTTTATCCATGTGACTTGATACATCTTAAAAGAACTCTAAATAAATTAGTCAAATCTCTCCCAGTGAAACATGTTGACTCTGCCTAATTCCATTTTCTAAAACTTTCTAAGTGTCTCCTTAACAACTGATTCCAGCATTTCCATATGACTGATGTTAAACTAATATCTCTATTTCTGACTGTCCACCTCCTTTGTTGAATAGAGGAATTACATTCACTATTTTCCAATATGATGGGGCTTTTCCTTCTACTCTCATGGCACCCACTTAAAGTCATAGAGTCATACAACATGGAAACAGAGCCTTCAATCCAACTCGTCCATGCTGATCAGATATCCTAAATTAATTTAATTTGTTTCCATTTTGGTCCATATTCCCCTCAACCCCTCCTATTCATGTATCCATCATTGTGGTTTTCAAATGTTGTAATTGTGCTAGCCTCCGCTACTTCCTCTGGCAGCTAATTCTTTTAAGACTCTATGATGAACCTCACCTGGAGACTTGCTAGCTTTCACATCTGATAATTTTCTTAGCACTCTTTCTGTGAATTATTTTAAGTTCCTTCCTTCCACCTTTTGATTACAATTATTTCTGGAACAAATTTTGTTTCATAAGAACTAGGAGCAGGAGTAGGCCATTTGGCCCCTCGAGCCTGCCCCGCCATTTAATAAGATCATGGCTGGTCTTTGAGACTCAGCTCCACTTACCCGCCCACTCACCATAACTCTTAATTCCTTTACTGTTCAAAAATTTATCTAGCCTTGCCTTAAAAACATTCAGTGAGGTAGCTTCAACCACTTCACTGGGCAGGGAATTCCACAGATTCACAACCCTTTGGGTGAAGAAGTTCCTCCTGACCTCAGTCCTACATCTGCTTCCCTTTATTTTGAGGCAATGCCCTCTAGTCCTAGTTTCACCTGCTAGCAGAAATAACCTCCCTGCCTCCACTTTATCTATTCCCTTCATAATCTTATATGTTTCTATAAGATCTCCCCTCATTCTTCTGAATTCCAATGAGTATAATCCCAGTCTACTCAGTCTCTCCTCATAATCCAACCCTCTCAACTCTGGAATCAACCGAGTGAATCTCCTCTGCACCCCCTCCAGTGCTAGTATATCTCTTCTCAAGTAAGGAGACCAAAACTGCACACAGTACTCCAGGTGTGGCCTCACCAGGACCCTATACAGCTGCAGCATAGCCTCCCTGTTTTTAAACTCCATCCCTCGAGCAGTGGCAGACAAAATTCCATTTGCCTTTTTAATCACCTGCTGCACCTACAATCCCACCTTCAGCAATTCATGCACAAGGACACCCAAGTCCCTTTACATAGCAGTGTGCTGCAATTTTTTACCATTTAAAACATAGTCCATTTTGCTGTTATTCCTACCAAAATGGATGCCCTCACACTTATCAACACTGTACTCTATCTGCCAGACCTTTGCCCACTCACTTAGACTATCTATATCCCTCTGCAGACTTTGTGTCATTTGCAAATTTTGACACACCAGACTTGGTCCCCAACTCCAAATCATCTAGGTAAATTGTAAACAGTTGAGGTCCCAACACTGATCCCTGAGGCACACCACTAGCCACTGACCGCCAACCAGAAAAACACCCATTTACCCCTACTCTTTGTTTTCTACTGGTCAACCAATCCTCTATCCATGCCAGTACATTACCTGTAATACCGTGCAACTTTATCTTATGTAGCAGCCTTTGGTGTGGCACCTTGTCAAATGCCTTCTGAAATCCAGATACACCACATCCACAGGTTCCCCATTGTCCACCATGCAAGTAATGTCCTCAAAGAATTCCACCAGATTAGTTAAACATGACCTACCCTTCATGAACCCATGCTGGGTGTTACCAATGGAACAATTGATGTCCAGATGTCTTGCTATTTCTTCCTTAATGACAGATTCAAGCATTTTCCCCACTACCGAAGTTAAGCTAACTGGCCTATAGTTACCTGCGTTTTGTCTACTTCCTTTTTTAAACCGTGGCGTCATGTTGGCTGTTTTCCAATCTGCGGGAACCACCCCAGAGTCCAGTGAATTTTGGTAAATAATTACTCGTGCATTTGCTATTTTCCCCCATCATCTCTTTTAGTACCCTGGGATACATTTCATCAGGGCCAGGAGACTTGTCTACCTTTAGCCCCATTTGCTTGCCCAGCACTGCCTCCTTAGTGATAATGATAGTTTCTAGGTCCTCGCCTGCTATAACCTTCTTGCTATTTGTTTTCGGCATGTTATTTGTGTCTTCCACTATGAAGACCGACATGAAATAACTGTTTAATGTCTCAGCTATTTCCTCATTCCCAGTTATTAAATTGTTTACCTTCACCACTCTTTTACGATTTACATATTTATAGAAACTTTTGCTGCCTGATTTTATATTCTGAGCTAGTTTACTCTCATAATCTATCTTACTTTTCTTTATAACTTTTTTTTGTGGCTTTCTGTTGGCCTTTAAAGATTTCCCAGTCTGCTAGTTTCCCACTACTCTTTGCTTTTTTTGTATGTGTTTTTTTTTTCAATCTGATACTTTCCTTTATTTCCTTAGACATCCATGGCTGGCTTTCTCTTTTCGTACTGTTCTTCCTTATCACTGGAATATACTTCTGCTGAGCACTGTGAAAAATTGTTTTGAAAGTCCTCCACTGTTCCTCACTGTTTCCTTTACAGTGAATGTTGATGGGAAAACCTGTGTTCAAATCATCTGCCTTTTTTTCCCCATTAGTAATTACCCAGACACACTGTCTAGATGACCAGCATTCTTTACTACTTCTCTTGTAATTTCTTATTTTTCTAATTTCTCCCTCCTTATTCCTTCTGTTGCCTTTTGTTGTTCTGACTTGCCATTATCTTTTATGGAATTGCATGTTTCTTTCTTTCAATTTTAACCTCCTTAAGTTAGCCAAGGATGGTGCATTCTTCTCTTAGAGGTATTTTTTCCCTCCCTGGAATATATCTTTGAGTGTTATGAATACTGACCTATCCCTTAAGCTAATTTCTCAGCTTTTTCTTCAAAGCCTTATAATTGCCCTTATTTAAGCTTAAAAAACAAGTCTTAGACTCTCACTTTTCTCCCTCAAACTGAATGGAATATTCAATCGTGTTATGATCACTCCTACTTAGGGGCACATTTAGAATGCAGAGTTTAATTAATCCTGTCTTGTTCCACATTACCAGATCTAGAATGGCCTACTGTCTGGCTGGGTCTAGAACGTGCTGTTCAGAGAAACTGTCCTGAAAACTGTGAACTAATTTTTCAGGCCCCCATGCCAATCTTACAACAATCTCCTATTAACATTAAACTTTGGAACAATTTCCAAACTTATACTTTCATGTCTTACAATTTTTGGATTAATATTTTCCCATTTTAAAATATTTTAGACCATAAGGCCATTAGAAATAGGAACAGGAGTAGACCTTTTGGCCCCTCCATTTTGCTCTGTCATTTAATAGGATCATGGCTGATGTGACATTCCTTAGATCCATTTTCCTGCATTTTCCCTTCAACCCTTGATTTCCCTGACTGATCAAGAAGCTGTTTATCTTATCTTTAAGTATATGCAAGGATTCTGTCCCCACAGCTCTCTGTGAGAAAGAGTTCCAAAGACCCTTCATGAGAATAAATTTCAAATCTTCTCAGTATTAAATTGGCACCCCTTTCTTCTGAGATTGTGTCCTCTGGTCCTAGACTCTTCCATGAGGGCAAATATCATCTCAACATTCACTCTGTCAAGCTCCTTAATGATCCTGTTTGTTTCAATGAGATCACCTCTCAATCTTCTAAACTCTGAACAGATTCTTTCTTGAATAGAGGTATTACATTCACTATTTTCCAATATGATGGGACTTTTCCTGAATCTAATGAATTTTGGAAAATTAAAATGAATGCCAGTAGATTCCCAACCTGTTTAGCCTTTGCTCATAAGACAATCCAGCCATACCAAGGTTCATTTTGTTTCTGTATAAACTTGCATTATATTGAGATATAGCTTAGTTCCTGCAGTTGTGGACTTTCTGACACTGGATACAGTTCAGAAATTGTAACTGTCGAATTATTTTCAATAAACATTAACACAATCTGCAAATTGCTAGATTCATGAATGAACCACAAGCGTTGGTCATAAAAGCAGAATATGCTGGAAGCTATCAGCAATCACAGTCTTTGTGATGAAAGGGAAACAAAGTGAATGTTTTATGTCAGTGACCTTATTAGAATGGGCAACATTTAGAAACATTTTCAGTTTTTAGCAATTAGAATTTTCTTTTTGATAGAATCCCTACACTGTGGAAACAGGCCCTTCAGTCCAACAAGTCCACACTGACCTTCAGAACATCCCACCCAGACCCATCCCCTTAAACCCACCTAATCTACACATCCCTGAACACTAGGGACAATTTAGCATGGCCAATCCACCTAACCTGCACATCTTTGACTGTGGGAGAAAACCGGAGCACCCGGAGGAAACCCACGCAGACACGGAGAACGTGCAAACTCCACACAGACAGTCGCCCAAGGGTGGAATCGAACCTGGGTCCCTGGCACTGTGAGGCAGCAGTGCTAACCACTGAGCCACCATGCCACCCCAAACTGAATGTAGGGTGGCTGGAAAAAATAAGTGAAGCTCTGTGACCAAGTAGAAGACGGGGTATTGAAAGAGTTGGTGGTGCAAGGTCAAACTGAAATGGTAATGGGACAGATAAAGAAACCAAAGCTATGTTTAGAGGACCAAAATGATACCTGAACCTCCTGCACCTGGCTGACTTTGTTCTCACGTTTAACAACTTTTTTTAACTTGCTCTAAATAAAAGATGTTGCTATAGGTATCCACATGGGTCCTAGTTACGCCTAATCTTTTGTGGAATATGGAAAACTTATTGTTCTAGTCCAACTCCACCCCTCCCTCACCTCTTTACCCTGTACAGTGACGATTATATTCGTGCTCTTTCATAGTCTCACACTAAACTGGAACAATTCATTGAGGTGGGGCTTCTGATTTCCACACTTCTCTTAAATTGAGGACAGGTCATGGCAATTTTTCAGTCTCCACTTCTAGGCATACGCTGTCCAACAGGTAACCCCCACCGCCAATCATTTTATTCCTCCATCTTGTTGTCCTGCTGATCTCCCTGTACACAGACAGTTACACTGTTCCAATAAAACTCCATGCAAGCTTGAGGAACAGCACTTCACTTTTTGATTCAGCACTTTATGGTCTTTTAGACTCCGTGTTGAGGTCAACAGTTTCAAACTGTAATCCCTGTTCCATTTTGCTATCTCCTCTTCGCAGATTTTGGTTTACCTTGTTTTATCCTTCCTGTTTTTGTGTTCTGATGGCAGCAGTTCATCATTCGGCCATTCACCCCACCTATAACACATCTATTTCCAATGAAAGGTGACAGGCCTGAAAAGTTAATTTTTTTTTTTCTTTCCACAGATGCTTTCTGATCATCTGAATGTTTCCAGCTTATTTTTGTTTATTTCAAATTTGTAGCTTCTATGGTATTTTGCTCTTGCAGTAGTATTGGCAATGTTGGTGTGAATCAAACCAATCGTGCAATGATACCATCGGATTACAAATTAGTTCCAGTTCTTTTTCATAAAATCATATTCAATTTGAAATATCCTGTATGCATATTCACCTTTATAAAGTACCAGACAAAGCTAATGCTGTTTACAGTTTGTCATGCTTACTGTATTAATAGATTAGGCAGCTTGCGGGACAAGCTCAAACATCAGGGCCTGAAGGACATTCACTATATGATAGTGAATGAGAAATCGCCTCAATCTAGGGCTATGCTCTGGGAACTCAAACGCCATACTCCTGAGGACATCCCTGTCTACCAGCAATCGCCATTTCAACGTGATGTCTGGAGCATTCTGCAGGGTAACAAGGATGACTTCCTCATCTATGATAGGTTAGTTATTTTAAATTGCAACACTGAGCAGATTATTTGTTATGATTAAATTGATTCCTCTCCCTTTGATTAGTTCTTCACAACTTGGTATAACCACTAGCTAAGTAGATATAACCTATAATTTAGCTGAGCACCCTGTTTTATGGTTACAAAATGGTGGAATCTTTCTGTTTTTATTATTGAAATATTTTACAAACTGAAATTTATTGTACCTAATTCTTTTCTTTTTCTATCATTAAAGGCAGTGTTTTGTGCTGGGACATGATTAGAGTAATAACTTTTTGTTTGATATTTTGCCCAAGTAGTTATGTGTGAGCATTTTTGCCTTTATAATCAAACTTGATCCAGTTCTCATGTGGTTGCATTCTAATGGAATCTCTATAAATGAAGAGAGCATACATGTATGAATCAGCAGCAAAAATCGTGATTCTGACATATTTGCCCCATTGTACTCCTGGGACACTGGACTCAAATTGAGACATTTTCAAATTGAGATTAATCAATTAAACAGGCTACTGGCAAGTTTAGAGCCTGTGTGACTGAATGCTCCACAATCTGATATTTTTATCCACTGTGATAGTTTAATAATTAGCTGTTAAACCTGCATGTTTATCTTACATAGGCATTTACAATGAAGTGGGATATTTAATAACTTGACTAACATTGGTATTGAAGATTTATAATCCCATTCTTGTGATTTTCTTTTATTTCCCTAGATGTGGTAAATTGACCTTTCATATCGTATTACCATATAGCTACCTCCAATTTCGCTATACTGAAGCAGCAATCCGAGCTACCTATAACAAAGACATTTGTGGGAACTGTGGAATCGGTAATATCAGTCTTGAGGTAATTGTTGCCATAATTTGGCAATCTCAATCTCAGCAGGATGGCAGGAATGCTTGGTAAACAGATCATTTAGTGAAAAATGTAATATTTGTGGTAGTAGTGTATTAAGTAAAGTGGCCATAGACTTAGCAGACCATAGGGCTGCTTTCTCATGAGAGACAATTGTTGGTGGTTTAACCTGAGGGTAACTACACCTAAGGCAAGGGGAGAGGTTGAGAAGGAGAATCCTTCGTGGTAACTACAATCAATGCTGTAATTGAACCCGTGCTGTTGGCATCACTCTGCATTCAAACCAGCCATTCAGCCAAGTGAGCTAAACTGGTCCCTGCAATTACTATATTATATTTAAAAATATTATGTCTTTGAATTCGTAATGTCAGATTTTCATTAGTTAATAGGTGACTGATCTATTTGATTCCCAAACTTATTTGTGACATCATAAGGCTGTCTGTCTCTACCTGCAGTACAACACTGGACTTTGCCCTGTCTGAGCTCATCTGTTGTTAAATCCTCATCCATGCCTTTATTAACTCTAGCTTCGATTAGTTCAATGTGCTGCTGGCTAGAATCCATATTCTACCCTCTGTAAACTTTATATCACTCAAAATTCTGCTCGCAGCAAGTCCCGTTCCCTACTAAAACTGTGCTCATTGACCTGCACTGATTCCAGATCAAGCAACATCTTCTTTTTTTTTTTTTTAAATTTTCATCCTTGTTTTCAAATTCCTAGTCTTGCTCCTCTCTCTATCTGAGTAATCAGCTTCAGCCTCAATCCTCCAAAATATTTGTGCTTCTCTAATTCTGGTTCCTGTTCATTCCCAATTTAAATACTCTATCGTTGGTGGTAGTGCCTACAGGTGCCTGGGGCCCCTAGCTGTACAAACTCTCCTTACACCCCTCCATCTTTCAAGTTTGCTTTCCTTTCTTTTTGAGACAGAATTGAAAACATATATTTCTTTGATCAAGGTTTTGAATATCTGATTCTTATCTCATTATGTAAGTAACTTGGTGTCATACTTGTTTATAATGCTTACAATGAAGTGCCTTGGGACAGTTATGTCAAAGACCCAAATACTAATATAAGTTGTTGTTTCTTGCAGACAAAAAGAAACATCACCTCTTACAAAGCAAACATTTTTCAGTTTAATACTACAAGTTTTGTGACAAGTCTGACTTTTGAAAATATAACAACTCAGCCAGTGCAACAGCATGTAGCTAATAAGCCTGATCCTGACCCCAAGCTCTCTTCAAGTCCTATCCATCCACATCATTTCAATAACAGCCAAGATGGAAGTCTGGAGACTGATGATACTGAGAGATTGTAATGAGTGTAGTTAGAATATCAAGCACAATAATTAAGAATAACTGGCAGTGATATAACAACTGTCAGTATCAACCCTAATGTTGTTAAAATAAATCCTGGTTTAATATTTACAATTTTGATTTGTATTCATTTTTTATTTGAGGGGTGTACTGTATAGCACATCCCACACCAAACAATTTTGTTATTCTCAAGTGTTCTTTCAATGAAGACATCTGGATATGACCATTTAGCAGTGAAATACCATTAAAATCTTTAAGGCAATATTGAAATGAGCACTGAAGTAAATGTGTGTATTGCCTCATGAGCTTGTAGATATTGTCCTTGGACCCACAATAAAGTGCAGTCCAAATCAAAAGTGTAGTCCATGCTATCTTCCCTAAGAGTGTGGAAAAATAAAGGCAGTAATCATCATGACTCGTCTCTTACACAAGCATCACCTTTGGGAACAGTTGGAGAGTAGGAATTAAGGGCTGACACGACAAATATCAGAGATAGCAAGGACTGTAGATGCTGGATCAGAGATAATACAGAGCTGGAGGAACACAACGGGCCAGGCAGTATCAGAGGAGCAGGAAAGTTGACTTTTCAAGTCAGGACCCTTCCTCAAAAATATCAGCTTCTTTGGGAAACCTGTTGGTCCTTTAGAAAAACTGAGGGTAACATATTGTGATAAAAAGATCTTGTTGCATATTTCAGTGTTTTTAAATCTAACCATGAAAGGTGATTCTTTGAATTTTCATTTATTCAAGGAAGAGACTGGAGAACTGTTATCTCAGCGTAGAAAACTCTTGATGGCTTAACGTTACAATGAAAAAATGACATTAACCATTAACCTTTGTTCATGTGCTCAATGAAGTCTTTGATTCAAACTAGTTGCTAAGCACTACAGACATACTACAGAGATAGCACAAGAGGAAAGCTTTTGACTGATATTACTTTCAGAAGACAGTAATTATTCTACTAAAGAGATTTGTTCCATTCATGAGATAACAAGGTGTAGAGCTGGATGAACACAGCAGGCCAAGCAGCATCAGAGGAGCAGGAAGGCTGATGTTTCGGGCCTAGACCATTCAGTTGTTTTTTTAGTGGAACAAAGTCAATGGGAAAACCATAACCCAGTTAACAAGGCATTAGATGATTACATCAAGTTAACAGTACTAATTCCAAAATATTTGTGAATTTCTCATTTCTTTCAATCATTGTCCCTTTCACTTTTGCATCCGTCTTTGGTTAAATGATATCTCACCTTTGATTTGGTTTGGTCACTTCACCCATGTCCACTAGAGATATGGTCACAAGTCTGCTTCTAGTGACTTCTAGAAATTGTTCAATGTATGCATTAGTTATCTCATTTTTGTCTTCACCTGCAAAGAAATGCTGCTATTTCAATGTGGCAAGTCCTAGATCAATAACTGAGTAGAGTTGGAGACTGAATCTCCAGTGTTAGGACTAGAACACATGATATGACTGTCAATATGATTTTTCCTCATCTCCAACCTTTCTGAAAGCAGTAGTTTGTGTTAAGGTACAATTTTGAGTTATAGCTGCTTGTGCAAAATAGACCCTATATGTGTGCTGCAGTGCATTTTCACCTTGCTGGTATTGCTAGTTTCAGTCATCGGGCAAGACATATCAGCTGGGCTAATGTCTTTCAATAAATGTATGTTACATTTGGCAGAAGGTGGGAGACTTTCATAAATAATTATCTAATGACTTCAACTAATTTATTGAAGCAGGAAATATGTTCCAGCAGTGCCCAAAGGAAACTTGTGTAATTTTTGTAAATAATTCTTCTGTTTCCATGAATGAATGATAACTATCAATAAATCACTAATGTAGGTGGATTTACAGATCCTTCATCACATGTATAAAGATGAAAATAAAATTCAATTATTGAAAAAAAAATACTGGATTACATATTAGTGAGTTTGAACATTGTTTTTATTTATTACTTAAAAGCATTCATTTATGAGTCCATTGTTGTCAGAGTTTGGAGCAGAAGCAGAACTTGTATAGAAGTCTAAATAAAAAATACTGAAAGAACTGCAGATGTTGGAAATCAGAAACAAAAACTGAAATTTCTGGAAAATCTCAGCAAGTTTGGCAGCATCTGTGGAGGGAAATCACAGTTAACATTTTGACTCTAGTAACCATTCTTCAGAACTGATGGTAGCTAGGAAAATGTTGGCTTTTATGCAGAACTTAGGGAGGAGGTAAGGAATAAATGACAGGTGGAGTTACAGCCTGAAAAGTGAAAGGAAAAGTTGGACAGGCAAAGGAGTGGATAATGTTCAGCCTGGGAGAATGAATAACTGTTAATGGGGATTATTAGTGGCTAACGAGGGTTGTGTGTAATAGCAGACCATATGATGACAAAAGTCTGGTGTGTGGGGTTTGGGGAAGTGTGCTCAAGCTCTAAAATGTTGTACTGAATTTTGAGTCCAGAAGAGTTCCCAAGTGGAAAATGAGTTGCTGTTCTTCCAGTTTGCGCTGAGCTTCGCTCGAACAGTGCAGCAAGCCTGGGACAGACATGCTGGCCAGGGAACAAGGTGATGTGTTGAAGTGGCTGGCATCTGGAAGCTCAGTCTTTTTTTGCAGACAGAACGGAGTTGTTCTGCAAAGCAGTCACCTAGTTTACGCTTCATTTCCCCAATGTTGAGGAGACCACATTGTGAGCAGCTAGTGCAGCATGAGTGAAGTGCTGCTTCACTTGCAAAGTGTGTTTGGGCCCTTGCTTACTGAGGAGAAAGTAAACGGGCAGGTGTAACACCTTGAGGTTGTTGATTTGCTCGCTCAGCTGGCTTGTTTTCATTCATTTCGTTACCGTGCTAGGTAACATCATCAGTGAGGCCTCCAATGAAATCATGTTGTTCTACTGTGCTTGGAATTTACACTGTCCTGTCCGTCATGGTGAGTAGTGTCGTTTCTGGTTTTGTTCTGTATGCGTTTGTATATGGACTCCAATTCTATACGTTTGTTGATTGCATTATGGCTTAAGAACCATGCCTCTAGGAATTCCCGTGTGTGTCTATGTTTGGCTTGGGCTATATGGTTATGTTATCCCAATTAAACTGGCCTTCATTGTCCAAGGGTACTGAAATTAAAGAAAGTTGGTTGTGTCATTTTGCTACTAGCTGATGTTTGTGTATTCTGATGGCTAGTTTCCTTCCTGTCTGTCCGATGTAATGCTTGTGGCAGTCATTGCATGGTATTTTGGAAACCACATTGGTTCTGCATGTTGTGGGAATGGGGTCTTTAATCTCTGTGAGTGCTTGTCATAGAGTGGCTGTGGGCTTCTGTGCTGCCATGATTCCTAGTGTTGTTGTCTCGTTGTCAGTTCTGATATGTTCTCGATGTAGGGCAGTGTGGCCAGTATGTTAGGGTGTGCTGTGTCCTCTTGTTGTCTATTTAGCAGGCACCTGTGGATGAAGTTGCGGGGATATCCGTTCATGGTGAAGATTTTGTATAGGTGTTCTTCCTCTTCCCTATGTAGTTCTGCCGTGTAGCAGTGAGTGGTGGCCCATTTTATATAAAATCCTAATACAGCTTTGTTTATGGACATTAGGGTGGTTGCTGTGGAAGTTGAGGATTTGGTCAGTTTGGGTTGCTTTCCTGGATACCTCACCCACAACCCAAGCTATAAATCTTTGGTAAAACCTTAAAGGTATAACAACTTCTGCGGTTGCAGGGGAAGGTTCCTATGGGCTGTGGGGGCATCTTGGAAGTGAAGCATGGTGTCCCAGACGGAATGGTCCTTGAGAATGCTGTCAAGGCAAGGGAGGGGAATATCTGTCAGGTGGTGGCATCCCGCTGACAGTAGTGGAAATGGTGGCAAATGATCCTTTGGATGTGGATGCTGGTGAGATGGTAGGTGCGGAAAAGGGGGACCGTATTGCTGTTGTGGTAAAGAGAGGGGTGAGGGCTAAAGTGCAGGAGATGGATTGGACCCAGCTGAGGGCCCTATGAACTATGGTGCTGAGGAATTCTCGTTTGAAAGCTGCAGGAACATTTCAGGGGACCCATTGTGAAGTTGGTATCATCAGAACAGATGCGACAGAGATGGACAAACTGGGAGAATGGAATAGAGTCTTTACAAGAAGCAAGGTGTGAGAATGTATAATCAAGCTAACTGTGGGAGTTGGTTAGTTTGTAGTGCATATTGGTAGTCGGCCTATCCCCAGATGCTGCCAGACCTGCTGAGTTTTTCCAGCAATTTCTGTTTTTCTTATATAGAAGTCTGTGGTTCAGCGTCATGTTTTCTGCCTTAGATGGGATATGAAATATGGAGCTTATGTGGGGGATGGCAAGTTGGTATCTAAACTTTATTTCGCTCTCCATGAACTTCACTGTGCATGATTTCCAGAGTTTCCACAGCGCCAAAATAGTCCCACGCACATGCAGACACGGTCCATGGAGTCAGCTGGTTGTTGGGAGTATCACCTGTGTTCTGTGTATAGGGAGGTTAGCATCAGTGTATGTACCACTAACGAGGGGGCTGTGGGTAATGGGGGAAGAGGAGGCTGGGCCTGACAAAGCAGAACTTTCTCTCTCCGGTGGGAGCAGGGACAAAGCTTGGGACAGGGAGATCTACACCAGCAGTGGGGACAGGGAAAGTCAGCGCCAGGATCCAGCCTCCGGTACAGACAGCCAGTCTCTTTCTTTCGGTGGCAGGAAGGACACATTGGAGAGATATGCTTTAGTTGTTACGAAAACAAATTAAAATCTGAAGCGCTTTTCTAAACATCCTTTAGAAGCGCCTTCGAGACGGGCTGCTGTTTCTGCTGGTGACCAATTACATCTGCTTTCTATGTGCACATGCACACGCTTGTTTAATGTATCAAAGTCTTTCTATGTCTTTATTTTGTTGTTTGGTATCTTGATCTTCATCACTAATCTGTCGTTTAGAGTGTCTGTGGAAATGTGTCAGCCGTGATTAAGTTGATTGCGGTCGTGTCTCTGAGCCAGAAGTTTACGAATTTCATTCTTCCATTTATTGAGCGGAGCTCAAAAATAAAGGCTGAAATTACGGTGTAATTCTGTGGACATACTACACTAGTTGAGGTGCTATATTCACTGTAACTCTGGCTGACTGGAAATACGTCAAGAATGTTTG